ATCCTGGAGTATTACCTTCTTAATTTGTTTTTGAATGAGGTTTACTAATATTTTATTAAGGATTTTCTGAATGCATGTTCATTCAGGGATACTGTTCAGTAGTTTTCCTTCTTAGATGTGTTGATGTGTCTTTATCTGGATTTGGTATCAGGTTATACTGGCTTCATACAATGAATTGGGGAGTATTCCCTCCCTCTCCGTTTCATTGAATAATTTGAGAATGTCTGGTGTTTGCTCTTGTCTAACTGTGTGCTAGAGCTCAGCTGACAAACCATCTGGTCCTGGGTTTTTCTTTGTTGAAGGACTTTAATTGCTATTTCAATTTTTATTACTTGATATTGTCTGTTTAGATTTTCTATATCTTCCTGGTTCAATTTTTTGGGGTCATATGTGTCTCAAAATTTTTCAGTATCTTTTAGATTATGCAGTTTATTGGAGTAAACTTTTCAGAGTAGTTTCCAATGATCCTCTGGATTTCAGAGGTGCCTGTGGTGGTGTCTTCTGTTTTATCTCCAATTTTGTTTACTTGGGCCTTCTCTCTGTTGTTAAAGTAAAAGTAAAGGTTTGTCAATCTCACTTAACATTTTGAAGAATACCATTTTCGTTGCATTGATCTGGTATTTTATGCTTTTTTATTCTCAATTTTACTCATTTCAGCTCTGATCATTATTATTTCTTGTTTTCTACTGATTTTGGAATTCATTTGTTCTTCCTTCTCTAAGACTTTGAAGTGAAGTATTAGCTTATTTCCTTGAGTCTGAGTAGGGGTAGGATAGGAGAAATAAAGACAGGTCAAAAGAAGTCTAGGGGGAAAGGAAAAGGAACTGACATTAACTCTAAGTTCCATGGACACCCTCCACTAACTTCTCAAGACCATTTTCCTGGACATAAATTACTAACAGGCTATTGAATCTTGGAGTATTGATATCAAAATCTGGATGTTTTTGGCATTCAGCTTGACTGCACAAGGCAGGAAACTCACATTAATAATATCTTCTAAAAGATGTAGTTATGTTTCTCTCCCTTGTTAAAAGACTAGAAATAAGTTTTTTTTTTTTTAAGTGGTTAGGGCATTCCATGGTGTCAGGGATTGGTTTCCCAGCTTCCTCTTTTGTTTGGGGGAATTTTTTATTTTTCAATTTTGTTTCATTTTGTTTTGGTCTTTACCATCCTTTGTCCCCATTCCTAAAGTCATTTCATCCCTGAGAACATTTCCAGAGTGTGGGTCTGCAATGAGGAGAAATAGAAGTGCTGGACCTACCACTTCCTGTCTTCATATACACTTTGCAGGAGTTAAAAAATCCACAGATCAGACTGAAGCCATGTGACCATAACAAGTTGAAAGATTTCTTCTATTTGAACAAAGAAAAGTAGCTTTTTTAGTTTTATTTTATTAGCTACACATGACATTACAATGATCTTGGCAATTCATACATTTAAGTCATTGGGGTATAATTTCTCATTTTTCCTAATTGTACAGATTGCAGAATCACACTGGTCATAGAGTCACCTATATACATACAGCAATCATAAAGTAGCTTTTTTTCATCCCAGATAATAATTCAGAAAGGAGTGGGGGATTCATTCTAGAGGAAGTATAAAACAGATTCTGGGAGACAACCAGTGGTCTCTGGCACATAACCCCATTTTTCCCAAGACTAGTATCCATTTAGGTATATAGTATAGAGTTGGTAACCCATTTTGTCTGAATGAGAATCTGAAAATAATAGCTCAAAGACCGTGCATAGGGCCAGTAGCTCCTGCTCTGTTTCTAGCACATTTTTGGAGTCCAAGGATCTTCTCAGCAATTCTTTAATCTCCTCAAATCCTATCATAAAATTTATTCCAAACCTAAATGAGTAAGAATAAATTCCCATTATTCATAACCAACAACCCTGGCCAATAAAGTAGATACTAAAATTCTTATATGACAGGTTAGGAATTTGAGGCTCAGAGAGGTAACATAATTTGCCACAGAGCTCATACTTCTTGATGATATACTTGGATGGAGTCTATATTGGCACAAGGTTGTAGAAAATAATCTGTTAATATGGATCAAGCCTATTAAAATATTCAAGCCCTTTGGGGAAAAAAATAAGACCTGTGCATGGTTTTTGTTGATTTTTATGTTTGTTTTTTAGGACATATTATGCCCATATTGGAGTTCACATCTGTTTTAAATATTTTTTGTCTAAAATATGTACATATTAAATACACACATACATCAAGATGAATAAGTTTAAACACATAAAATAAATTTGCTCTTACACCAAAAATAATTTAAATTAGTTATGCGGGATATTTGGAGTTTATATGTTCAATTAGATGACTTAAGGTCTATCTACCCTTAAGTTTGCCAGAAAACCAGATACTTGCATCCCAGCTCCAGGTCAAGTTGTGTTGTATAAAATTACTTTTCCTAATTCTTACTTCAGACTAATATAATCATGTTCCTTAAGGGACAGTATCACACAGTACTATGAATCTCATAAAATTTACTAAAACGACTCTCCTGAGAATGTTGTCCATGGTATCAAATAGTTTCTCCAGTACAAGAGCTGATAGGGAAAATCTCCATGCGGCCTCAGGACCTGGAAATTTCTCCTGAGCAACTCATTGTTGTTTCTTCTAGACTCTGCGAATATGTAAATGAGCCTGTCTTAATCATCTTATGGTCCTCTAATAATTGTGACCCACATACAACCAGTGAATAAGGTATCATAGGCCTCATTTTTTAAGTTTTCTCTGTATTTTATTGGCAGTATATTCCCCTGGAATCTATTCTGATATTATTACTGATACATTTTAATATTATGTGCATATTTTTGTAAGTAATTTTTAATAATTTTTGGAACTATAAATTATTATAAATTGAATAATGGATTTGTAAGCTGATTGATAATTGTAAGCTATTCAAGGGCTTAAGCCTTCACATTTTTAAGTTATAAGGATGCTAAAACTTTGTTTTAATCACTAGTGCCACCATTGAGAAATTATAAAAAATTAATCTACTTTATGGTCTTTCATAATGTTTGTAAAAACCCTCACATTACCAACCAGAGAGCTTTGATGTTGCAGGTACTTTATTCTGTACTTAGAAATCTAAGTATTTTATATGACTTTATACATTTATTATTTTTCCCTGAGAAGTATCCTTGGCACAATCTGTTAGTACAGTTCAGTCTCTTTCCTACAGCGCATAATAATTTTACAACATTTTTGTGCATTCTGTTCTGTCTTTGGAATCTTAACTACTGATTGTTGGGTTACTAATTTTCCTGTATTAATTATTTTCCTCATGAGTATAATTCACTCTAATGCTCTTTTCACATTTTACTGGTTCTTTTTAGTTACACATGACGGTAAAATCCATTTTGATATAATTATATAAGCATAGAATATACCTTCTTTTATTTCAGATCCCTTTCTTTTGGATGTACATGATGCTGAGAGTCACTGTGACATATTTATATATATATATATATATATATATATATATGACTTAAGGTCTATCTACCCTTAAGTTTGCCAGAAAACCAGATAGTTGCATCCCAGCAACTATATATATACACACACACACACACAGGAAAATTATATCAGGTTCATTCCACTCTTTCCTTTTCCTATACCTCCTCCCAGTTGTGCTTCTTCTATTTAACTATTCAAACCATTTAATTTTTTTATCCCAATTTTTTTGCTTTCCCCAACATTTTAATATATTAATCTATCATCCTTCTCTATCTATGGTCTTCTAAAATGTGTTGCTTTTGTGTTAAAAGATGCTTCGTGCATAATGCATTTCATTTAGCGTGCTCTTAAAGACCTTCCCACACCACTCTATGTCTAGCCCATGTCTGGCCTCAACAAAGGACCCCATAGTGTGCATCTGCCACATTTCACTAAAGTGGTAACATGTTTACCACAGGGTAAACATATCAGGTATGCTTCTAACACCTTTTTAGCATTAAATTGTTGTGAAAAACATCATTGTATATTCCCTCTTGGAACTGTGGAGACATTATGTTCAGAAATGGGATTTCAAGCACAACATGTACGTACTTAGATAAGACACTGCCACAAGCTCTACCTATCACTTCACCACATCAATGCAGGAGGAGTCCAACTATTGCTCATTCCTGCATACACTGGGTTTCTCTGGATTTCTGATTTTCCCATTTGGTAATGTAAAATAACACTTTCTTTTAATTTTCACTTCTCTAATTACTAGTGCATTTGAGTATCATTAATATATGTTCATCTTTAGGGGTTTTCATCTGGGAATGGGTTATTTACATACTTTGTTTATTTTGTAAATTTTTAATCTTGTGCAAAATTTTCTTTTCATCCCTCAAAACACTGACAGAATATATCGTGCCTTAATATAACTGAAGAAAAGAATAAGGAAACTTCAAAATCACTCACTTCCTCAGGAGCATAACCACCACGTTTGTTCCCGGTCAGTGCTTTGACAAAAATTCATGAAATGTCCCAGAGAGGGACCAATGCACATGCCACAGTTAAAACCAAAGTAGTATAAAAGTTGAAAAAGATAGGGACTTGTATTTTAAAAAAATAAAAGAGGTATGTTTTAAGGAATAGCCAACTTCAGGAAGAAAGTGGGAGGAAGAAGGAAATAAAAGGATGTTGCGACCAAAAGTAGAGATCATCTGAGTCCCCTGACGTCTGTATGCATCTAGCAGGATGATTTCAGTCTCCAACAAGAGGACACCCAACTTGATGACCTGAGAAAACTCAAGGAAGCATACTGACCAATAGGACTGAGAAATTCAGGGTCATGCAGGCTTTGGTTACAGTGGAGCAGGACTCTTCTGTGAGTACTTTACCTCTAACTTCTGGTCTGTATGATTTCATCCCTAGATTTGTTTCTCAATGCTGAAAAATGACTTGGGGAAATTCTACCCAGCATGAAATGTCTCAACTACAACTCAGGTGGCACAAAGGCAGCGAATTTAAAAAGAAAAAAAACTGCAAACCTTACATAAATTCAACACAGGTTTTTATTCCAGACACTTCACCAGGGATACAGATACTTCAAAAGCACGTGCTTTGCTCTCTATGTTCTAAAAACTGAAAGAAAGAAACAAAGCTACACAACAGCCACAGAAGTAGACAATGAGGGGTACAGTTGACAGGTGGGGACACACAGATGGAGGGGAGATGGCTCCCCACTGTGGATCTAGGAAGGACCCCTGGAGGATGTGACACCTGGAATTCTTCTGATGATCCACTATATCTAACCCAGCAGAGATTGCTAGGTTCCTATTCCATTCACAGGTGAAGTCTCAGCCCAGGTCAGAACACACATCCTGCAAGATTCCACTGAGCCCATATTGGTAACTGATCATAAACCAGATAAATTATAGAGGCTTCACAAGGACAGCTGAGGTGATGTCATCACCCTGTGGTGTTCAGGTGTAGACTGGGCACCTGGGTAGCTGGGTCCTCACTTCAAAGGGACAGCACTGCAGGGAGCTTCACAGTGTGTCCTAAGTGAACCAAATGAGAACAGAGAAATAACAGACCTTCATAAGGTGGAGGTGAGAACTGAGCAGAAAATGGAAATGGGGCTGAGAGGAGAAGGAAAGTGAGGAAAAAGTCAAAACAGAAGGGAAGAGCATTGGGGAGGAGGGACGAACAGGACAGATGGATACAAAGAACTCACCAGCGTTTCCTAAACCAAAATCCAAGACCTGTCAGAAGAGCCAGGGCCACTATCACAGCCAAGAGGATCCAGCCCAGGGCACTAGGAGGTGCTGCAGATTCAAGTGGACACCAGGACGTTGTTTCCAATCCATTCCCCGTTTTACTCCACACACTCCCTGTTTGCTGTATTAACTATTTTCCTTGAGTTTCTACTGCACCAATCATTCCTCCTATTTTATTCTTATCCCTTTTCAGAGGGGAATCCTTCTTCTATCCTACATATTTCTGCATCTGCAGATCCCTCATGTTTAATTCTTCCATTCCTTGGATTAAAATATTTGTCTTCTTTTGAGTCTAAAATCCCTAATCTCCCAAATTTTTGCTGGCCCTCAAGCTCTGCTGTAGCAGACTGCCTCCCCCCATCTCCAGCCTGGGTCCCACTCTTACCACCCCAGTGGAGGACGAGGTCCTGCCTTCCTAGGCTGCTGTGCTTCACCCTGCAGGCCAGGCCAGCCACCTCCCCAGCTGCCACATCCAGGATTGCTCTGAGATACCACGTCCCATCAGCATTGGGCAGGATGTCACCTCTCTGAGTGCCCTGCTGCTCCTCCTCACCTCGCATCCACATCACCCACATGGGCTTTGGGTAGAAGCCAGACACATGGCACACCAGCAGCAGACGGCCAGGCCCAGGACTGGGGCCACTGGACAGCCAGGCCTCAGGCTTCACTGCAAAGGACAGAAAACACATCCAGACACAGACTCTAACATACACTGAGAGGTTCAGAACTCCACATGAGACTACATGGATATATACTTCCCCCTTCTGGAAATGTCACTCGATATCCTCTTTTTATCCTGAATTTGACTTTAAAATAGAAAAATTCTTTGAGATGGGCTACAAGACTGACCTTGTTGCTGGAGCTGAGCCTTCCCTGCATCTAGAAGACCCAAGGTGAAACGTGGGCAGGTGTCACTGAGGAGCCTCTGTAACCTCTGTGTGTAGTCTTGGTTCTGACTGAGCAGTCTGCAGACTTTCTGGGCCTTTCTTCCACCCTCTGGAGATGGTGACCATGTTTCATTCTGGAAGCTCATGAACTCATATCCTTGGATAGCTACATGCTTCAAGCCTAGGAAGCCCTTCCCAGAGTGCAGTTCACAGCCTGTTGCAATCTGTAGATCAAAGGGATCTGGGGAAGAAGAGTCATGAATTAGAGGAGAAAGGGGAGAAAATGAAATGAGATGAAAGCAAAAGACTATAAAAGCAGAAGGGAGTTTGGGGAGTTTAGGGGATGGACCACAATGTGGTTTGGTCTGAGGTTCACAGAAAGGAAAACTGGTAGGAGCTGGAGGTGGAGGAAGAGATGATAATATGAGGAAGGGAGGGGATTGTTCAAAGGTGATAGTGATGGTGGGGGGTGAAGGAATTAATGTGAGAGAGCTGAGACCTTAACTAACCAGGGTGAACGTATCCATGGTAACCATAGCAGTTTAGATGGGGATGACTGAAGAATGAAATGGGAGAGAAAGTCACACTTTAAGGAGTCAACCGAAGAGTGAGGAAGCTAAAGGCACCTGGCTGATTTCTGGGGAAAAGAGTGGCCACGGGATGCCTCTGAGGGGAGATAATAACGCACAGCCCCGCAGGCAATGAGGGAGCAGTTCATAAGTGGCAAAAACTGAAGTTTTTGAAGAATTGGGTTCTGGTGTATAGCACTTTCCCAGGGTGTGATTGCAGTTTTATGCTGAAGAGAGTGAAGTAAGATTCGGAACAGTGTAGGCTGTTTACTACAGGAATAAGAAGTTCACTGAGGGCTGAGGATACAGCTCAGTTTATAGAGAGCTTGCCCCACATGCACAAGGCTGGGGTCAATCCCCAGCACCACAGATCAAAAAGCTCACTGAGAAACCTTAGCTTTCTTCTCCCCAGCAATGGAACTAAACTCACCTTCAGACATGAAGTAATCAGTGTAAAATTCCTGAATTCCAATGGAGTTTACCCGGAGAAACCTTTCCAGATCCACCAACTCCCTGTTACTGAAGTTGCCCCTGGACCAGGGATACAGGTAAATGATGGCATCAGAGCTGCTGTTCCATCTGTGAATCTGCAGCTCCCCCAACCAGCCTGAGCTCAGATGTACCCAGGAATGGTTGTGAAAGGACGACGTCTGGAGGAGATGGTAGGAGACAGGCTCCTCAAACCCTGTGATGAAGAATAGATAGAATGTGGGGAAATGTGACATTGGGAGGGAGAGACTAGGAAAAGAAAGTTGTCAGAGTGGGAAGACTCAGAGTCTGGAAATGTGGAGAGCCACCGTTACCTTAGCTGACATCTGCTGGCCCCCAGGGTCCCATGCTCTATCAACATCCTCCATGACAGCACAGAGGGCTTGAGTAAGAACACGCAGAATGAGGCCAGCTTGGCACTCGTTCTCTCCAGGTGTGTGCAGGGGAAACTACCATCAACACACACACACACACACACACACACACACACACACACACACTTGCCCCTAACAGGTCTCTTGCCACAATTCTTACCATATTCACTGTCACCTACTGGGAAGAGAGCAGCTAACAAGGGGAGTAGCAGAGACATCATGGCACTTGCAGATGCTACCTCTTTCTCTTAAGAAAAGTTGTCCTTGGATTTCTGTTCTAAACCTACCCCACAGACCTCTCTTCTGACTTCCGTATTCAACCAACAGACAGACCTCTCCTGCCTGAAAATCTGCTTCCACCCCAAACCCTGACCACCTACTCAGTTTCCCATTTCCCCTGCTCTTCTGAGTCTCTGCCCAGTCTTCCAACTTCTCTCACTGTCTCATATTTCCATCCTGATCATCTTCCCCTATTTCAACTGCTATGCAATATGTTTTATGTGGCACTGAAAGTCACCATACCCCTAGGAACTCTTCTTTCAGTGTTGGGTATTGATCCCATGATTGTAAGCATTTTGAGTTATTTGAATAATTTTGAATTCTTCCCCCATGTGTCCTCTTCCCTACCCCATCCCCCATGCCACCATCTTCATATCGCTGACATCACTGGTTACTTATTTACTTCTTCAGAATCACTTTGGATTGTCCTCTACACCAAGTATCAAATAATTAATCTGTGGATCCTGTATCCAGGGTGTACTCTGGGAGGCATGCAGCCAGTCCAATAATACACTTACTGCTCCATGATCACCACCTTGAATTTTATAGTAATTTTATTGACTTTGTGTTTCATAAGCAAAGTTCAGTGAAACTTCTATGGGAGCTCACAGAGCCTCCCCAGCTTCTGTAGGGTTCTCCCTCCCACAACCTCACCCACAGGTGCAGCACCTTTCCACCTGCTCCTCACTGTCTAGGGCCCTGGTAACTCTACACTCTTCCTATCCACCTCCATCCTGCCACCACTGCACTGACCATGTCTCTCTGAAGGCCCCATCTGCCATCAGCCTCGGTCACTGCCCCATGACTTGCAGACACAAAGGGAGAATGGCACATGCACCCAACAGTGTGTGGGCAGAACACAGGGGCAGTGATACCATCTAAAGTCTGCACCAAGTCATTTTGTAACTTGTCCACACTTATTCCAAGTACCAAATGCATCTCCATATAATTTTGTTGCAATTTCTCAGTGCTCATTCCTGTGCCAAGTGTGGGGAGGGTGAGTTCAAATTCCCACTTCAGTTCAGCCAGGGTAAGGATCATTTGAGCAGCTGGGGTAGCAGGAACCAGGCAGGGAAGCTTGCTTGAAGTCATGAACTGCAGAGCCCAGGTGTCTAAGTGCTCCTGCAATCATCCCGTAAGTATCCCTGTGCCCAAGGGACATAACATTAGCAAGTCAAATAAAAACACAGAGATATAACCTTTCCTTGAAATAAGAAGTTTTGAATTTTAGTACCTTTAAAAGCACTCCCTCCCCTCCCTTTTGAGCACACACCTCCTATGTTCTGAATCTTTATGTCTTCCCCAAATTCACATCCTGGAGTCCTAACCACCCATGTGATGGTATTAGGAGGTGGGGCCTTAGGGAGGTGATTAGGTCATGCTGTCTCCATCTCAGAAATGAGACTTGTGCCTTATAAAGGGGACCTCAAAGAGACCAAATAAACCTTCCATGATGTGAAAATATTTTGAAGGTATCTTTGATGAACCAAAATGCAGGTCTCAATACAAACTACATCTATCTTGACCTTGGACTTTTCAGACTCCAGAAATGTGAAAAATAATTTTTAGTGGTTATAATCCACCCATTCTATGGCATTCTGTGATATTAACCTGAATGACTAAGAGAAGGTTCTACATTTTCATTTTTCCCTGGATCCCACAAAATATATGACTGCTGCTCTTGAGTGTGGGATGGCAAAATCAAGGAGAAGATAGTTACAGTTGGACAGGAAAGAGAGCAAAGAAAATTAACTAAATAAGGAATGAGGTTCTGGGACCAAAAAGTTGTGAGCTGATAAGAGAAAAGAAGGATATAACAGATGCAGGAGAAGGAGGAAGAGGGGTGTTTTAGTGAGCGTTTTTGCCTCTGAGACCAAAGGACATGACAAGAAAAATTTGAAGAAGGAAAAGTATATTTTGCGTCTCACAGTTTCCAAGCTCTTAGTCCATAGATGGTCAACTTCACTCCTCAGGGCCCAAGGTGAGGCAGGACATCATGGCAGAAGAGTGTGGCAGAGGAAAGCAGGTCTGGATATGGCCACCAAGAAGCAGAGAGAGAGAGAGAGAGAGAGAGAGAGAGAGAGAGAGAGAGAGCTCCACTCATCAAGGACAAAATATATGCTCCAAAGTCACATCCCCAGGAACCCACCTTCCCAGCCACACCTACCAACCCACAGTTACACTCAGTTAATCTTTATCAGAGGATTAACTTACTAATTGGGTTAAGGCTCTCAAGACCCAGTCATTTCACCTCCAAATCTTCTTGCACTGTCTCACACATAAGCATTTGGGGGACACCTCATACCTAAACCATAACAAGGGAAGCATAAAGGGAGTGGAAAAAGAATTCAAAATTTGTTCCCCTCTACTTTCCCCTGGCAGAGGGCTCCTGGTGAGGATGCAGGTAGCAGCTGGTGCTTGGGTCAGAGTCCCACTGAGGATCTGCAGCTCCCCAGTCCACTGCACCCCTGAGTGAGCTCTCAGCTGTGGAGGGGGAAAGACAAGGTCTGAGGAGGAGAGAGGAAAGGATGGAGACCATTGGGAGCTGCCTGGGGGAGGCTGAGATCTGGGGGAGCTGAGAGAGAGCAAGAGTATAGAGAAAAAAATAAGAGATAAAATAGGTGGGAAGTGACCAGGACCAGAAAAAGAAAAAATCTTTGAGAGAGGAGATGGTTATACAGATCACTGATGGTTGTGTGCTCCCTGGTCACAGGAAAACATGATGAAAATCCAGATGAGTAAGATCTATGCCAAATAGAACTCAGCCAGGCAGGGTGATTCTGCTATTTTAGGGGCATCCATGATGTTAAACCCCAATGCAAAGAAAAGACCACCGACTCTAATTTTAAATCATATTAAAGCAAGCTTGCATTGGTGTACACCAGAGCTGGCCAGGACTGTCTTTCCCGAAAACCCTGGGCTAGAGACCAGTACCCCAGCTCTCTAGGAACACAATTTTATAGCACAAAAAGTTGCGAAATGGGGGTATCTTGAAAACTTACAGATAACAGGATTTTGACAAGCATAATACAAAGGCAGATAGTAGGTTAAAGATCTACATGGCATGATATTTCAAGGTAGGAAGCAAATTCAAATGCAAACATCAGAACTTATGAGGTTTCAGAGAGGGTTGTTACCAGGTCAGGGAAAATTAGGCATGGGTGGGTTCAAGGCATGGGCAGGCATTCCAAACAAGTTTAGAAATCACAGTCATTTATAGTAAAACACAAATTAACTTTTCATGACTTTGTGATGAAATGGCTCCCAAACTCAAGATGGAATTAGGCTGGGTTCATCACAGGATTCTTCTCTTTGTAACAAGACCTTCCTTCAGGATTCTTCTTCTTGATTCATCTTTGCTTAGGCTACCAGCATGCTGTGTTCTTCCTAACACTTCTAACTGTTGCTCCCTGCACGCACCACAACTCCTGAACTTCTCCTTCCCCACACAGCTTCCCCGGGAACCAGGACATGAGCTCCCCCCTCCACAGGATCTCACTGTGCCATCTGACTTCCCCTCCTCACCAACACAGACCTCAATTTCTCTCCCCGAGAAACCCACTGCCTGTCCTAACTTCCTGCCAGCACTGTGCTTCTCCTTCCCATCCATACTTCCTCAAGTTTTTCTCTTGTCTTTCTGTCTTTCTTACATATAACCGGTGTGTTTTTTTCCTCTCATAGCAAATTTCTTGCAGTAAATGGAGCTTCAGACTGAGACTCATGTGATTTCGCGTACAGAACACCTGCACCAAATTGCAATGTCCTGAGCCTGGCCTGAGTGTCCCTGAATGTAAAATGACAGGAAGGAACTGAATGTTAGCTGCTATCCTGTGGCTGTGACGTTCTTTGTGACTTGCTGTGCTCCATGTCTACCCACCCATGTGTCCTCTCTTCCCTACTCTGCTTCTCTCTCCTCTTTCCCTCCCCAGGTTTTCACCATCATTCTTCACTTAGCTCTTATCTCAGCCCCAGGACCTCATCTCTCTTCTGTTTCTCCCTTCTATCCATTCAGTTTAACCTCCATCCTTCCTCCTTGACTCCCTTGACAATCCCAGTAAAATAATTTATCACATGGCCCTTGGAATCCTCTGTGTTAATGTAAAACACAAAGTTATGCAGTTGTTTCTGTCGAGATGCCTCATACAATAGGTTAAAAAGACCTGCCAGTAGAAAACACCAGGAAATGTGAGATTACATTTTAAACTAGTTTAAATGCAGAGCAGCATTTAGAATAAAATAAGGGAAGTCCTTTGGGGGAAAAAAGCAAAGACATGTAAAACTGGTATCTGGCACCAGTGTACACCCAAGTTCCCTACAGGTTGGGCTGCTGTGGTCTCCTGGATCTGAAATTCAGGACTTAGGTCTGGGCAAACAAGGTCAGAATTGTAATGCAGGCTTCTTCCATACCTTCAATTCTGAGACAGAAGAAGCTAGGAAAAAATCGAACCAAATTATATACGAAAGGAAGCTGGTATATCTGTTTGCTAAATGATGGTTGGTTGTTTTCCTCATTCTGAAAATTACAAATCACTGTTCTGAATTCAGAGCTAAAAAATATCTACTTACATAATCCTGGAATAAAATTCATAATAAGAAAAATTTATTGCAATTTTTATTGATTTTTTTAAGAATAAATGATAGCAAAATGCATTATAATTCTTATTTTTTATACATATACAGCACAATTTTTCATATCTCTAACTGTATATAAAGTATGTTGACACCAATTCGTGTCTTCATACATGTACTTTGGATAATGATGTCCATCACATTTCACCATCCTTGCTAATCCCCTGCTCCCTCCCTTTGCCTCCCACCCCTCAGCCTTATCTTGAGTTCATCTATTCCTCCCATGCTCCCCCTCCCTACCCAACTATGAACCCCCTTCCTTACATCAGAGAAAACATTTGGCATTTGTTTCTTGGGGATTGGCTAGCTTCATTTAGCATTATCCTCTCCAACTCCATCCATTTACCTGCAAATGCCATGATTTTATTCCCTTTTATTGCTGAGTAAAATTCCATTGGGTATATATGCCACATATTTTTAGTCCACTCATCTACGAAGGGCATCTAGGTTGGTTCCACAGTTTAGCTATTGCAAATTGTGCTGCTATAAACATTGATGTGGCTGTGTCCCTGTAATATGCTGATTTTAAATCCTTTGGGTATAGACTAAAGAGAGTGGTAGCTTGGTCAAATGATGGTTACATTCCCAAATTTTCAAGGAATCTGCATACTGCTTTCCATATTGGCTGCACCAATTTGCAGCAAAGTATGAGTGTACCCTTTTCCCCACATCCTCGCCAACACTTATTGTTATTTGTCTTCATATAGCTGCCATTCTGACTAGAGTGAGATGATATCTTAGAGTAGCTTTGATTTGCATTTCTCTAATTGCTAGCGATGATGAACATTTTTTCATATATTTGTTGATTGATTGTATATCCTCTTCTGAGAAGTGTCTGTTCAGGTCATTGGCCCATTTATTGATTGGATTATTATTTTTTTTTTTTTGGTGTTTAGCTTTCTGAGTTCTTTATATATCCTAGAGATTAGTGTCTGATGTGTGAATAGAAAGACTACATCCTGGGAGCAAATTTTTTATTGTAAATTTTTAATACCTCTATGAAAGCAGGTAAAATTTAAAGCAAAATTGATTAGGAGAACCCCCACCAACAAGCTGTGAAAATGACCCACACAAAGACTTCCTTAATTAGCCACAGTTCAAATGTAGAGGGTAGAGATTAAAATAATACACCATGAATGAAAGTTGACAGAGGAAATTTAGTTGACCCAAAAAACACACACATAGGAAATTACGTGCTTAAAGTTAGAATTATATGGTAAAAGAAAAATAAATCATACAAAAAAGGGACATGATTTAAAAAAAAATACCAGACACATTTGTAAAGCAAATTTAACCTTAAAACTACTGTTATTGCTATAATTGTATACAAACTCAAAAAGTAGACTAAACAAAAGAGAAATAATTTTGAAATATTTCTGAATCAGAAGGTCTGAAAACTTCCTTCTAATGCAATATACAGATGAAAGCTTTTGGGAAAAATGGGGGGCATTGAAAGATATAAAGCGTAGCTAGATGAGGTGGGTCCCACCATTTGTTCCAGTGAATCAGGAGACTG